CGCTGGCCGCAGACCCGGAATGCTATACATCAAACATAGCTCCGATTAAAGATTGCATTACCCGATATCGAACGACCGTAATATTTTAACCACTTATCCTTTCTGACAATTTCTATGACTTTATTTTATAACATGTCAAAACATATCACATAAATTTATTTTTTTAAGATTTATTTCACATATGATTAAGAAGAGATGCAAATATAGACCGAAAAGTTCCCTGAACGACCATAAATATTTTTTTTTATCTATATCCATGTAGGTTTGATATTGTCTAACAGAATCAATCGATAGCAGTGCCTCTCACCGGGCCAGACATGCATCAACTATAGTTATTTTATTCATCTTTTTAAAAAAGTTAAGTTTCGTAGTGACCTTTTTAATTAAAGTAATTGGTTATAACCGTAAATAGTTTACAGTTGCTATATCTATACTAATATAATAAAGCGTAAACGCACACTACTTTGTGGCATAGGATGTCAGCAATCACAGCATATTTTTTAATAATTATTTCTTTAATAAAAAGCCCTACGCTTTAGGCTATATATTTTTACGAAATAGCATTGCAAAAAATAATAATAAATGAAACGACAAGCTACCAACATTAAGAAAGCCATTGTCATGTCATTTTGACATTTGCAATTGTGTAAGCAATAAAATAAAATTTTCATAACTTTATACGGATGGTGTGGCACGGGAACAGCTAGTTTTGGATGTTATGAATCCAAATTTAGTATGATCTCTAAACCATCTTGTATACGATATACAGGAAGTATAACATTTCCTCACAAGACGTGACAATGAATAAATTTTCATTTCCGTATTTGAACTGTCCTCGATATCGAGAGGACGAATTTATTCCGAGTAAACTATGAATGTATACGTGATGTTGTTTTGATATTGCATCACGTATTAAATGTTAATAATATTCGGTTTTAACTGATGTCTATTTATGTTGATCTTTGAGCATTACTATGTACATATTGATCCTTAACTTTGGGTAGTGGGTTGAGAGTTAATAGCCATGTATACTATTCACCTATTTAAATATCACCCTAATCAAGTTAAAACAAAAAATATGTTGTTAGGCCACACCAAGTCCATATCATTTCCCTTATTATCTGCCAGGACTCAAATATAAATAATGTAAGAGTTTTATGTGTCAGGACATAAACTTATTCGTAGAAAAGTACCGAATAAATAATTTAAAAAAAACTTATTTCTTACTTTGATTTGGTAACATCAAGTTAATGTGCTTGTAGTTAATTAATTTAAATTATTATCAAAAAATAATTGAAAGCGTTCAATTTGGAAAGATAATGAACGATTAATATAATAAGCCTTTTCTTTCTTAATAAAAATGACATTTTAGGTAAACTAATATTCGTTTAAAAAAGAGTAAAAAAAAATAAGCTGCGTTGGCCGGGAATCGAACCCGGATCAATTGCTTGGAAGGCAACTATGCTGACCATTACACCACCAACGCTATGAAGGCTTAGTTAGAACTTTGAATGAGTCTGCGATATTATGTAATATAACGTAAATTCTTCTTCATACGTGCGGTTTTGTGTTATAATTTTAATAAATGTACATGATGGAAAAATATGTAAATACAAAAATATCTCTATTTACAAATATTTTTCTATTTCATATCTGAAAGATTTAGCTAAAAATAACGTAGAAATAAATTTATAAGTCAGCAGAACTGTTAGCGGTACAGCCAACGTCACTCTTCAAGGAAAGATAAGCGGAAATGAAACACTTAAAATCCCTTAAAGCAGAGGTCAGGCCGTCGGAACGAAACCACTATACTCCCAGATACAAGCGGAAAAGCTTTAAGACGCGAAAACGATTTTCTGAAAAACGAAATGAAAATACTTGCTCATCTATTTTTTTTTCCAGAATAACTCAATGTCCTTACAATTGCGATATCGTAAAGATGTATATGTAAAAACTTAAGACGGTTAATTCTAAGTAAGGTGACGTACACGTAGACCTAAAAATTTTAGACAGTTAATTTAAATAAACTAAATCAGCAATAAATATTTATTAAGTCTACCTTAGTTGGATTTCGCTGTGTCAATCTACTTATAAGTGGATCTTATCTTAATCAAATAGTACAAATAAATATCGTATCCCCAATCAAAAGTAATGTCTCTGTCATAAAGACAGATTCTATCTGGCATCGCGTTATTCAAGCGGAGCGGGTTGTCGTTATGTTTTATAGCTGAAGCAAATAGTTACATGAACTCCTCAATAATCTAAGACGATTCCTATTTCATGTACTAGTATCAAAATACTATATACATTTTATATGATAACTCATATGTCTCTCTGATTTAATTTATATTTGGTAAATATTTTTAGAGCGTGCGCGCTACTTTGACTAAATTATCGCACAACTGTTCAGTCTCGCTGTGATTCCTATTAGTTTTTATTGAGGTTCGTACATTACTCGATTTTTGTTGTGCAACTAAACAGTTGAAAGGGCTGTGAAACAATCGAAAAGGGCTGTGAAACAGTTTTGCGATAGTCAGAGGTGTGCGCCCGCTTTTAATCGCAAAATCAGTTATCAAAAATCGTTTCAAAATCAAATCTAATCCAATAATCTGTGGAATGAACGATTAGTCTTCGTCTAGTCTTGAATAATGTTGTTTGTTATTTTATTTATAGGACAGACTTTTATCAATAAATCAAAATAAACAACACCAGGGTATAGAAGACAATAAAAATACATACTAGATTGACATTGAAAATTAGGAACGAACCGTATAACATCACTCGTAAATTTCAAAATTGACTTCTGTGAAGACGATACTTAGTATTGGGTAGTTCGTTTGCAAGTACATGAATACCATCTCGTTGTCGGTTAAGAGCGGTCGAATTTGTATTCTGCAATGAACATAACCGAAACCCCGCATCTACTTGCAAATGTATCAAACATTTCGGGAGATTCCATCCATTGGGCGAATAGTTGAGGTCTTTGTTATGTATGTTCTATGCAGCATGTATGTATATTTCAAACCTAGACTCCAAAAGTCTGTTTTTACATATATATTTTAGTAAGTGATAATCTCGAAATTAGTAAATGGTTAAATTAATAAAAGTCATGTTGGCATCCCTACGTTTCAATATAATGTAGTGAAAATAAACCGATAATCTCTTCGTAATAGTTTAAATTGTATCAATAAAAATGACATATTTATTAATTGACCAATTAAAGATAATAAAGCAATTGTTTATTTTTAATATAAACAAAAAAAAACGTAAAGAAAATGCGGCAAGCGCTTCCTTTAAGTCTCCCGAGGGGCTGATATCTTTGTAAGTGAATTTAATTTAATGTTGCTCGAGAAAATGAAAAACAGAATTAATAGTCCCTATAATCTTTTGTGTACATTGTTATTATAATCAAATACAGGAAAAGTGTGCTTTAAAATTTGTTAATGGTCTTAGTAACTAAAGTTAATTATGTTAATAATGTTTGCTTAACTTCGGGTAGAATATTAGGGTCCAGTTTAAAATCCAAGTAATAAATACCGGACTTATAGAGCCGCTTAAATATTGCGCCCTTTCATATATGAAATATTTAAAATATAATTTCATTTGTTAAATTTCGCTAGCGAGATTAAAGTAATTCATAAATGTACACAGATATTACAATAGAATGTATCAGTTTTGCTATTCTGACATGAATCGTTTTATCAAAGTTATTTCAAAACATAGTCGTAAACCGCAACAAACCATCTCCGCGAGGAAAGCTTGTGGCCATTTAAAAGAATGAGCGGAAATGAAAGTCCCGAGGTCCCTCATATGACAGGTCAAATCCACCCCAAGACGTCTACAGTTACGAGCGATAAAAATTTAAAACCCAACCTACTTGAAAGTCCCTTTGCGAGGAAATGTAATTAAACACTGGCAGTTGAGACGGGAATCACATTTTAAAGAGTTTCGTGGATGGAAGTTTTAGTAGCGTTAATTATAGAAATTTGGATTTTTATGAAACTTCCTAGTTCAACTCTAAGTGGCATTTGAATGTTAGGGGCTTAAAGTGCCTTGTTCCTTCCAAGGCCTACGAACATTAGAGTAACTGGCAGTTTCAAAACCAACCTCTTTAGGGCAAGGAAATTAATTAAAATAACATTCTATAAATTAGCAATGATTCATTTATTAATTTAAAATCTAAGAACAAAGATTGGATTATTCAGAAATGACTATTGCTTATTTTTCAATTTGTTTTCCGCTGTCCAAATGTAGGCAAGTTTTTTTTTTATTTCGCAAGATGGTCTTGTAGTAAGAAAAATGTAGGAAATGAAATGTTGCTGGAATACCCTCGTACGAGGGCTCACTTCATTACGCGGATTCCATTTCGCCCCGAGATAAGAACTATCGAATTTGTATTCAAATAAAGCCGACGGCATTTACTCAATAACGGACCAAACAACTTTATAGACGACCCAGAATGGATCAAATAAAGAATATTTCGCTCGCCTTCTGACTTGTGGCAATTTAATCCTACCGTTTATGAAATAAAAGCTAATATTTACTTCATTTTAATACAATTTGTTATTTTATTAGAAACTAATATGTATATTTGTGTAATAACATAACAGTTAAGTTATCATAACTAACGTTACGTTTGTACAAAATCGTTTTGTGTAATGATTCACAACTCTAGACTTGTTCATTGGCGACAGTTGGCCAACGCAGCAATTTTTAACAAATATAAATATTCATGCTCGTTTAGCATAAAACAATTAATAAAGAAACAAAGCCGACAAAGCTAAAAATTGTAAATCTGCAAAATCGCAACATCCAAGGTTAAGGTCATGTTCCACTGCTGTAACTTATATTGACACGTATCGTTGTCTCTATTTTTGCAAGGAGAACGAAAGCGAAAACAATATGATTTCATACAACTGCTTCAACAGTCGAAACCCACAGTTATTAATACATAAAAACAACACGATCCGTGAATTCCGCTTCATTACGTGTCGTGTCTTATTATCATCGAAAATGTTTGAAAATGGAAATCCGTGTTCGTCATTGCTACTTTGTGATTAATTGTGTTGTATTTATCCAGAGTGAGTATGAATAGCTTAACATTTCCTTTCACGTAAATCTTTTTTTTTTTAATGTGACGGGTTAATGGAGTGTTGGCTGTCAAACCTAATCCCAGTTCTCTTTAGGCGCTTTCCAACGTTACGAAAGGAATTTCTTAAGGCTCTAAATATACGTCAGTCACAATTTTACAGCTCATCGCTTTCCTTGTTCATTTTTGTACGGAAAAGAAAATGCGGTAAGTTGTTACGTAAACGTTATGACAAAATCTTTTCTTCCTTTCTATAGAGAAATATTTCTGAAATATTTTTTATGCACATTTGAATAATCATTTTTAATTAGCGAACTGAAAATGATTTTTTTTTTCAAATCACATAAATTAAATGCAATAATAATTTCAAATTTGAAAAATTGGACCTTTATTATTTTTTAGCTTACGATTCACGACACTTCAATATTTCTAACACACAGAGTCCAAAAAAGAGCTTTTTTATTTATTTATTTACACTTTGTACACAAGGAAAACAATCACAAAAAAAATACATATTGAGCGTTGGTTGTACAGGCGAGCATAACTCTAATAGAGTTTTCTTACTGCTAACCGTTTCGATACAAATTAGATTTTTAGCAGGTAATTACGATGTGCAAAGTAAAAAATAAGACATTTTTTTATACAAAGCTAGTGTCTGTTTTGCCGAAGTCATTAAATTATTGAAGTTTACACATTAACAACATAAAAAAATTATGTGTTCTACTGTTATCTATTTCTAATTGTGGCAAATAAAATGATTCGATAAAATTTATCGCAGTAATCCCAGTTTTTATTTCAAATGTGGCATTTACATTTTTCACAGCTTACTATTTTTTTTTAATTGGGAATGGCTGCTTTTTTTACGTAAACTACAGTAGCAAAAACAACGAGTGTACGCTGTCTGCTGTCATATTTTATTCATGAAATGAATATTTTGCGGTTAAAATATTGTATTAAAAACTATGTTTCCTGACAGTGAAATCTATCAATAAAAAGTTGTGTGTTTAGATTATTTAACTCAACTTTATTTTAATCATTTTTTCTATATTCTTGAAGGTAGTCCAATATTGTTAAAGTTAGCCATAAAGTAAGTTTTCGGGAAACTGACTTATAAGAAAAGAAAAAGGGGGGGGGGGAAGGAAAAGGGACTACAGTTGGGCTTTCAGCACCAAACTCATGAGAAACTCATCTCTTCTGTGTGGTCGCGGTATTGCACTGGGCGAGCCGGCACATTTGTGCGAAGATGTTAAAACGGGCTCTACCGCATACCTACTTACTAAGTTTTGTTTCATCTAAGCTTGTTACGGAATTCTAATAAATATCTTAATCGAATAATACAGGTTGTGATTCTTTTATGCTGTATTTATTTACGTTAACGAGCACGTATACAAATTCGTGACCCAAATAAAAAAGACATGACAATGCAAACGGTAATTAGATCAGCCATGATTTAGCCTGTAAATATGTACATATATTAATAAAAATTATAGCATTAATTTTTATTATTATACAAAGAAATAAATGTAACATTGCACCTTTTTTGTCGGATGTGTCGTAATTAAGTAGATCCTGCTGATATTCATTTAAGTAATGTAATAGTAAAATAAATTATGCTTATTTATTTAAATTTTCACGCAGATTTGGAGGCAAAACCGTTTTCTCTAAACGAGGCCATTGCCGAAGAAGTGCGGGGGAAGCAATCTTTACAAACGACGCCTCGATCCAACTCAGCAGGTAACGTAACCCAATAAGGTCAAGACTATTCCACGAAAATAATACGTTAAAGAATTTATCTCATATACAACACACACACACACAAATGTTTTATGTTTCAAGCGGAATAATGAATATTATTAGGGTCAACGTACTAACGAAATCAACTTTTTATTTTCAGACAAATTTAAAGCTGAATTAAAAGAGTACCGCTTGCCAGTGTTACCTAGAAACATAATTTTTTCGGAGCCCTATCTAAGAAAAAGTAATGTACATTATTAAGTTACCTCATTTTTAACGTATCAAATGTAAAGAGTTTTGAAATTGCTCTTATGAAGTTTAAATATCATTAAATTTGATTTAAACTGCAATTGTATTTAAAATAATTGCGAATTTTTCAGCTACTCCGAAGAAAACACCTTCTGTTCAATCCAAAAGAATATTCAAGGTAAGGACACCTATAAGACCGAACAGATTGAAAAGACAACAAAGGTTATTAAACAAATTTAGGAACAGAACGACTGAAAGATCAATAGATAGTTATGAAGCTATCAATCACAAATATATCCCGCTCTTTAAGAGTCTCAGCATTTTGTTTGATAATTTTCTTAATGCTGACGAAAGTGAGTCCTACGAAACCACCGCCAGATACAAATACAGAAAGAATTATCAATACACAGAGAATAAACACGAACCCGAATGCGCTTGCACATTTAATGGAAACATCGAGGAAACTAAGCCGACCGAAACGACAATTACTCCTACCACGTCTATTTCCACTGAGATCCCGAATGAACAGATTGTCGCCTCTGCCGAGGCTACCGCCGCCCCGACCGATTATACTACCGCTGGTTACGTCCGCAGTCTCAAACGGTATAAGAACATACCCGTATTACTTGCAAGAAATACCGCTAGCACTGGGAGAGACGATAATGGAGTCCGTGAGGGAAGCGACTCCGCAATTCACAGAAGCATTGAAAGATATCTCGCCGGGGATAATGGAAATAATGAATGTGTTTCCGGAAACGAGGAAAGCGAGTCCGTTGCACAATATTATGAAGAACATCCCAACAGTGCTCCACGAGACAATGCAAGTAGCATTGGATCCCCTGGAGGAATATCCAGAAATAGAAACGATACCAGAGATACAGAAATTGGAAGATCTATCGACAAGAGTATCATCACTGCGACAGAAGAAAATGCCTATGAAAAACTTAGACGAAACATCAATTTATTTAAAGGACAAAATAAACTCAAAGCTAGAGAATACGAAGCAAAAGGCTCAACAGCTATACCAAACAATAATTCAGGATTACGACGAAATGCAAACAAAGAGATACAAGTCACAGAATCAACTGTTACCGACAAAGATTGTGAAGAAAGCAACTTCAATGTCACACTCTTTAGCGCCGGTGATAAACGATTCCTTGACGGAAATGGCGCACATACCAAAGAAATTCAAGAAGTTCGTAGAACAAATGAAGCAGTAACCTCACGGTTTCCGTTTAATACAATGGCGCCAGTTAATAATAAAGTACCCGTTGTTACTATTTTTGATGGGTATAGTGTAGCTAAAGATTTTAATGGCGAAAATAAATTGACTGAGAAGGCAATACTTATACAAGCATAGTGTACAGATACAAATTTCACCTGTTTAGATTTAGTGTGACCTGAGTGTAAGATTAAAACATTTTTAGATATAATAATCTCAATATGAACTTTAGTTATTAATTAATAAAACCATTTTTAAATAAAACCATGGATAAAGTAAAAACATTTTATATTATTTAAAACATGGTTCATCGACGCCCCTTCTTGCCTTTATTCTTATTGCTAGCCTGTGTAGATTGTGGTTGTTGATCGGCAGGTCTGAAAACATTATATATATATAAATAAATGTTTGTATAAATAAATAAATGAATGAAATGAAATATTCTAATCAACAATAAATTAGAACAGTTTAGATATTCTCAAATGAAATCTGTATAAATAAAAAAAGGCTTCAATGTAAATTAATTTCACCTGTTTTGACGAGTTTTAAGCTTAGGAATAGATTCCCCAATATACTTCATGACAGATTCCCTTGAACCAAACTCTGATTTAACTGGAGTGCCATCATCATTTTTAATCTGAACTCGAATCCTGCCTCTGTATAATATTTCCTAGAATCATAGAGATGATAACTTAAAACTTACACAATTTTTAAAAAATTAATTATTTTATTACAATTACCTAGTGCTCGAGCACAATTAGTATAGTAGTAGTAGTTCCATTTTCATATAGCAATATATGAAAATGGAACATTTTAACTTAGTAACTTTTTATCTGATAAATGGTGCAAAGTAACAATGTTTATTACTAACCTACTATAGCTGCTGCTAAGGAAAGGCCTTATATTAGAGCAGTGATTAATTACAAAATAGTAAAATGTATACCTTACTTCTCTCCCTCGGATACAACTTGTTCTCCACACCAACACGGAGTCCAACAGCTAGCAACACATCTCGTATCTCTTGATGTGTGGGATTTTCGACACAGCTTGATTTTGGAAGTTTTCTACCTTCAGCAAGAGTCTTTTTGCTGTTTATATATGCGGGATATATGCATATCCACCTAAAATCACAATATGTTTTTAACAACACTTCATGGACATAAACTTTTAAATATGAATGTATTGTGGTTAGAAATTTTACCTCTCAACGTCACTATGTTTTTTCTCTGGATTCCAAGAGGTTATCATAGCGGCCATTATTAAAGGGTTAAATTCTTTACAAGGAAAATTAGTAGTCCCAAAAATCCACTACTTAAATGGAATATTTTGTAAACTAAATAAAATTCACTTAAGACATTGACAATTTAATGATGACATTATCAAAAAGTGTCAATGTCAAATGTCACCTAACAGAAGAAAGTGGCAAGTTATGTAAGTTTTTATTTCAAGACAAATATCTCCAAATTACTGCTACAGGGGGTCAAAACGTCTTTAATGAAAATTCAACTTTAAACTTTACTATAAGTAAGAAATCGATATAACCTTCAAGTAAATAGTTGCCAACAACAATATTTTATGTTGTTGACATTGTCACTATTTGACGTAAAATCAACGCATGATGATTGATGTTGTTGGGCGCCAATTTAGATTTGAGGTTATAAGATAGAAGTTTAGCAATAAAATATTATTATATTATTCTTTTGCAAAGAGCATGAGCTGACGAAATGACTTCTATCGCAGTGAACAATAACATCATAGCGGTAACAAGAGGTTTACACATTTACTGCTATGACTATTCTAACCACAAAGTGATTGATGTGGAATCTCAAGACGCCAACGATAGTATTTCTGATATTGTTATTGCCTCCAATTGTGAATACATAGCAATATTAACTTCGACATCGAAGCAACTTATTATTTACAATTGGCCAACGTTCAAGACAAAAAGAAGATATGTACTACCTAGAAGTGCAAGTAAAATAAGATTTTCTCCTCAAAGCGACTATATATTCGTAGCTGATAAAACTGGTGATGTTTTAATGTACGATATATCAAAAGACGACGATGGGATTAAACTTTTGGGTCATTTAAGTTTATTACTTAATGTCTTACAATCAAGTGATGCCAAATTTATTATATCATCGGACAGAGATGAAAAGATAAAAGTATCTCGTTATCCTAATACTTATAATATTCATACATATTGTCTGGGCCATACAGAATTTGTGAACCATTTGGAATTTCTACCGAATAACAATAAATATCTGACAAGTACATCTGGCGATGGTACTGTGAAATGTTGGGATTATTTAACTGGTAAAATGATTTATAGCATTGATACATTCCTTGATATAAATGATGAAAACTTAAAAGGTGACTTTGCAAAAGTTATGATTGAAGAAGGCATAGAAGTGAATAGTTTACCAATTGTCCATTATGCTATTACTAAAATAAGTGAAACATGTAGCATTTTAGCTATAGCTGTTTATAATTTTAATAAAATACTGGTCTATTGTCTTAATAATGATAATGACAATTTTAAACACAAATTATTAGAAAAAATAGATGTTGAAGTATTTCCTTCCTCCCTGGCATTTTATAAATCATCATTATTTTTGTATTTTGATCATAAAAGTATTGTTCTTATTTATACTATCAAATGTGAAAATACAAATATAGGAATAGAACTAGAAAAAACTGTTCAAATGTTTGCAAATGATTCAAGTAATGAATTAAATTTAGAAAACAAGCACTCTATTAAATTATTATACAAAAGGAAGTTTGACAATGTTCAGGAGTATCAAGAAAGAAAAAAACAAAGGTTGGGAAAAGCCTGAAATGTTAAACTGATCATTTCAATACATCTATACCAAAGTTATAAAGAGGAAATATTTGTATTTTTGTATATATTGCAATAACTACTGGGGAGATTTAAAAAATCTTTTATCATAAAAAGCTGTTATCAGTGAGTAACACAAGCTATATTTATTACTTTTTAATTTCACGACGTTGTCGCGAGCAACAGCCAGTATCAAATATTTTGTTATTAAATGGTAAAATGATTTTTGAAATTATTTCAGTACTTTTAGAGTTGTTTCTATACATAAAAATAAAAATCAAAAAAATACAGGTATTTCCTCTTTATAACATTAGTATAAATTAAAACCAGTTATTTTATATTTCATATATATACTATTGTACTATGACAACAACTATCTAGAAAAAATCAAATGAAATTTGGTAAATAAAAGATATTTTAACCATATAGTTGTTTATTTCTAATTACATTGAAAACAAAGACATTTGCATGTATTTTGAGGTGTACAAAAATAAATGAAATCAAAATTACTAAACACATTTAATGCAACAATTCTTTTCACAAAGTGAACTCTCTCCAAGTCCATAATGTGTTGGTAGAGTTTTAGGAAAGCTGACAAACAAATGATCTTTATAATCATCTAAACAAAAAGCAGTGGGTTTCAAATACTTTGTAAATTCTGCAACTTCATTATTGCTTTTTTATGCAAGAGCTATTTATTTCCAGCTTAGGTATTCATAATAATCAACTTAAATATAATTTGTTTGTTAATAACTAACAATACATGTGCCTAATTTTTACAATCATCATAGATTCTAAATGCAATAAATACAATTTCTGTGTATGAAATCTTTATCTTGATTTAAGGACATTAGCAAAGTTGCGAAGCTGTGAGCCAAGGTTGTCAATTTCATTAAGGACACTATCTACATCATTCTTGAGATCCATTAAGTCTGGTAAGTTATTGCAATCTGGTACATTGAGTAAAGTTGTAAATATCTTGTCCCACAGACTCACTTTCATATACCTGAAAAATTAATAAGAAAGATTATACATAAACTGTAAACTTGCTGTTTCCATACAGCATCATCTGTATGAAATTATAAGAACTTTATTTTATTGTCTACATTTGTAAAACTTTCAATTGCAAATGTCAAAATTCAGAAGCATAAATGACAACAATGGTCTTTTACATTGGATAACAACTACCGTTACCTATGGCAACCTTTTTTTTAATTTTTTTTTTAAATTGCACCTGCACATTGCTATGTTAATGATACAAAATTATATAATAAAGAGAGGAAACATGCACAATAAAATTATAGCAACTTAGGATGAACAAGGTTCATAAATATGATTCTTAGTCTATCTTATAAAAAATTAGAAATATTACCTTGGTAATTTTTTATCTATATTCCATTGACCAAGACGGCTAACAACTTTCATATAACTACCCATTAAAATAACGTGAATGGTCCCGGCCAAGCAGTACAAGTCAGTCTGGTATGTCCATGGCTTGCCTTCTCTCATCTCTGTACATGTGAACCCTTCTGTTGCTATTAGCTAAAATATCAAAGGTTTATTAATTAGTAAAGACAAAAGTATTTTTTCATAAATACTGTAAAATAGCATAAACTTACCTCTCTGAATGTTGTGTCTTCAGGAAACAATGACATATCTATAGCACAACCAAAGTCTATTAACTGCAAGGATGGAGTTCTCCATTCTTGAGTCGGGCTGTAAATAATACAAAGTAACAAACATATTATAGTAAGACAGGAAATAAGGATAACAAATATTAGATCTTATAACAAAAGTACTTACATTTTCATTAGCAAAAAATTATCAGGCTTGATATCCGCGTGAATTATTCTTGCTTTGTGTAGATAATGGACTATAGATAAAATCTCAGATGTCAGCAAAATAACAATGAATTCATTTATGCATTTTGAGGTAGCAATTCTCACTTTGTTCGCAACATCCAAAAGTGATCCGTATTTAGAATACTCTGATACAAATAAACTTGCATTTTCACCTAAAAAGGCAGTTGTGATATCCATGTACCCAGGAAGCTGAAACAAAAACGTTTATTAAAAGCATTTTAGGAGAGAAATATTAATTATTCATATAATTTTCGTTATAACCTACCATGAATGGATCTTTTATCCTAGCTTTTATTTCTTGACAAATGTAGAACTCCCACGGGCGACTTGGCTTTTGATATTTAACGGCCACAGACTTATTGTTATGTAAATCCAAAGATAAAAACACTGCACCATAATTCCCTTTGCCCAACTGCTTTTCAATAGAGAACTTGTTATTACCAACACTCATCACTGTGGCTAATTGTAATTTAGGTATAGATCTAACTTCGATGTATCCTTCTGCATGAGTTTTATTAGGAAACTTAACATATTCTAATAAGGAGGCAATAAGCTTCTTGTTAAAGGGATCTATTTGTGATGGGAAATCTATATCGGCAGGTCTTGGAATATCACTAGTTTCCACTAAAGATATGGAGTGTGTGGATTTGTATGCAGCACATTCCATAGAATTTTCACTATCTACGTCCATACCATAGCCATCAGATTGTAAGTCAGATTGTCGCGAGTATACTGAAGAGATTCGGCTCTCCTTACTGACGGAGTCTCTGCTATCCTCAGATTGTAAATCTACTCTATTTTCAAAATCAAGTTGTCTTTTTGATATGTCTTTTTGTTTTTCGATGTTATGAGTAACTTTAGCAGATTGAATCGGAGTGGCCGACTGCGCAGTCATGCCATCTTTACTGTCTGAGTCGGACATGCCCGATGATGGAGGTATTTGAGCCTGTTCCGGACTTGAAACATATAAGTTCTTATGCATCTTTTGTGAAATACTGGGACTATTTGTAAATTTAGGTGTATTAGCATTATCTTTAGGTTCGTTGCGATTAGATATAAAGTTTAGGTACTGGTTTGAAAAACCTATTTCAGATGGGTTTTGATGTTTGACATTTGGTTGATCATGTCTGACAGTTCTTAAAGCTGATGAAGGACTTTTTCGTGAATTTTTAGATTGCGGACTAACATTGGTTACATTCTTCTCAGCTTCCATAGATTCTTGAGGTTGAGGTATACTGGTCACATCCTGTCTCATTTGTTCAGTAGAATGGGTCATAGTGTTATGTGTTGAAGGACTTCTGTAATTATTTTGTGTATTTTGTGGGCTTTGATAGATTTGAAATGTTTGATTATTTGTCATTTGATTACTAGCTATGGCATAGCCTGGGGAGTTTGTTTCCATTTGTTTTGGAGATTGTCTATATGTGTTTTGTACTGTATTAAAGTTTTGATTGCTAGGGTGATTAGGACTGGGATACATGTTTGCATTATTGTACTGGTTATGCATCCCATGATAATTTTGTTGATTGTATTGGTTAGCTGGTTGGTTGTTTCTTTGGTAGTATTGTGGGTTTTGATACTGTGTTTGGTGCGGAGGGCTTTGAAAGACGGCCGGTTGTTGCGTCTGATTAGCATATATATGTTGTCTTTCTGTTTGATTATAGTGGAACTCTTGTCTATTGTATGCGTGTTGAGGGCTCATCATGGCATGTCCGGGGCTGTGGTAGCCCATCTGATTAGTGTAAGTGGGGCTGTGGAAGCCAGGTTGCACGGGCGCGTTGATTTCATGCGGACTCTGCATGCCAGTATGCTGAGGGCTTTGATAAGCATTAGGATTGGCATTCTGATAATTTTGCTGTTGTTGGGGCATCAGCTGATTGTTTCCATATGTAGATTGATTGTAGTTGAACCCCTGTTGATATTGGTGCATTGATCTTTGTGGTGTAAATCCGTTATAATTAGGTACTCCCGGTTTCTGATACTGATGATCATGGGTATGATAAGACACAGTTTTATTATCTTGGGGTTCCCGTTTCTGTCCATACATTCGCGAAAAATGTCCGTTGGCGTTTCTCGGTTGCGACGACACTGAATTCCTTTTGTGAGCTGCGCTCTGTTGACTCGGGTCATTAGGATTATTATACATAGAATCATAATTAGTTGTGTACCCTGTGAAATTGGTCCTTATTGACTGGCCTGATGAGCTTGAGCCAGATTTACTGAAAAGAAAATTGTATTACACATTTTAAAATATTTGCTCAATGGGGTTTACATTGATTTCTCTTCTACTAAATTTTAATTGTACCTATTATATTCTCTGGTGGCTTCCATAATGACGGAGAGTCCTGCACCCTGATTATCAACAGTTGCGTGCTGGTCCATGGCAACTCGTCTCGGGAAATCTTCTCTTTTGCCAATGGCCTGATCTGATTGTTCAATAACACTTTCATCCAAGCTAAACTTGGGTACAGATGGATATTTACCCGATTGGTCTATACAACTTGTTGGTTTTTTAAACTGTGACATATTAGGTGTGCTCGCGTCTTTGATGTTAAAATTGAATACCTGAGTGCAGGACGGTTCTTCGTAATATGCAGTTTTATTTACCTGTAAATTAGTATTACTTATTAATCCAAATGAAACTTATATAATACTCGCTTTCGCCCGCGTCTCCGTCTACGTGAAATTAAAAAAAAACAAAAGTCAGTAGCCTATGTGTTCTTCCAGACTATCCTCTACATCTGTACCAAATTTTATCGAAATTAAGTCAGGCACTTTAGCTACAAACTCTATCAAATATCCATCCATCCATCTAAACTTTCGCATTTATAATACTAGTATAAAATAATATATGCATAACCTTACTTACAAAAAACATAGGTAATTAATTTTAACTAATTATGCTATACCTGTTGTGGGGCATGAACAGCAATTGGTGTAGGAAATTTATTAGCATTTTCCTTATCCTCTGGTAAAGCTCTAGTATCAGGAACTTCAAAATTCTTCTTATTGATTGCCATAGTCATAGATCTATCTTCATGTATGTCAAATTTCGGCACTTCAAATTGTTGCACTGGCTGCACCATAGAAGGCTCTAATTCAAACAGAAATGATTATAAACAAAAGTCATAATGTTTTTTAACTAAAAATAAACAAATACAACATACCATTGTCATTGAAAATGTTTCTCAACTCCCACCTCGCCTCCTTGGTATTAACTGTAACATCATCTAG